CAACTTGACATATATCATTATTTTTTGCGGACTAGCATCTTTCCTTCAGTTACATTTTTCAATTATATGGCTTTGTGTCTAGTTTGTTCGTTTTCTGTTTCTGAAGCGGAATCTACGGTTTTCTCGTGACCTTTGACTGTTTTCAGTGTATTACATGATGTTCAATAATGCGTAGCAATTGATACGGACAAGATTTGATGGCCGAAATGCTGTAAAATTTGCAACAAATATTTATATACGAATTTTGCGACCATTACAGTTCGTAGCTAATTTGCGACGAATAAGTAGCGACGAATCAAGTTCGTGCCTAATTTCCGTCCAATACATTTTGCGACGAATTTTGCAACAAAATTTGCGACGAATTTTGCCACGAATTTTGCGACGAATTATTTGCGACAAATTTTTTTGCGACGAATTTTTTTTTCCATCGCAAAAATTTGCGACGACTTAGTAGCGACGGAATTTTTTCCGTCGCTAAATTCATCGCAAAATCGATTTGCGACGGATTTTTGCGATTTTTTCGTCGCAAAATCCGTCGCAAAGAACATGTTTTTTTGTAGTGTCCGCAAATTCAGTAAATTCCGAACAAACTTTAGAAGAAGCTTAGTAGTCAACAGATGACAATTCTAGCACCTTCTCAACTTCCACGAGAATCTTGGGAATCATACATGAGGTATTTTATCTTAGCCTCAGGAAAACGTTTGCCACTTGGGTAAGGAGCAAGCCCATCAAGATTCGGTTCTTTCCCCAATGCTCCATCATTACTAAAATTATCGGTTCACCGTCTCTTAACAAAGATATCATTATTGATTGGGATATTCTCAATAAATTACGCAAGCTCAGAAGTTTGTCCAATTGTCTTCAATTCAAAGGACAATTCAAAGAGTTTATTGATATCAATAGATTTTATCTCATTCAACCAAAGAGTCTCGGACCCCATTATCCAAGCTCTTATGAGCTTGTGTTGAGTCTCATTCTAAATTCCTTCAGAAATGTTCCCATCCCTTGTGGAAACGTGGGAATTCTTCATTCACTTGCCTTCTAAGAAGAACGGACACATCAATCCTGCCGGAGCAAGCCATTTTAGCATGAATCCTTAACATGTATAGCTTGCTCAAAAGGAATGTGAAGAGTTAGCCCAGCAAGGATTGATTAAACTAAAAGATTTTCACTTCAAGACTTTCAACATACACATTTCGACCTACCTTCAGTCAAAATATTAAGTTAATGAGTTATGATCAAATATGACATATTAATTACTTCATACACCACCAATTCTACAGAGTGTGACTTTTCTAAATCTCGACAATCTCCCTTGTGTGAACTCAGTATTAGGTCTGCTTCCCCTTAATTTAGATATCCTTTTGCATCAAGTTGTCTCAACTCAAATCTCCAATCTTTGCCAACCAATGCAAACATGCCTCTCACCTGTGGTCTCCTCTTGGACTGAACCATGATAGCAAATCTCACTTGGCAACCGCAAAGATCGATTGGATTCCTTGTTGAGTCCAAGATACCGATACACAAAAATCTTCTCCTAGGCGCGCGCAGCAAAAGCCCAATACATTCACCTAGAGATATTATCAAGAGGAAGCCTAAGTTTGAGCTCATCAACATATTCAGTTTGATTTACCTTCATTCAAAAGCTTAAGTCAATAAGTTATTGGCCAATTAGGATATATTAATTACTACACGCCACACAAATTCTTCAACATGGGACTTTTCGGGAAATGGATACTTTAAGTGCCATAATTTTCGTACGACGTTCTTTTGGGTGTAAAAACTTTTCGCCGGATTACTTAAGTGCCATCGTCGATTTGGGATGCTAGAAATCCGACGTGGCAATATTTTACGTGGCTCGTCGACGGTCCATGTCAGCATTAATAGCCCTAAATGATGTATCATTTTTTATATTTGAATCGGCATTTTTCCTTTTTTCTTTATATTTTTTACAATGTTATTTGCCACTAAAATCGTGGGTCCATTTGTTTTGACTAGTTAAGTGAAAAAGAAGTAACTTGCTCTCCTTCACATCATAACCCAATATACAAGGGTTTTATATATTCAAGTAAATTATTATTTACATGTTTTGAAAGGTTTAGTTGTTGCAACATGCACGTTCAATACAATCTTGGTATAAGTTTTTAGAAAAAGTAAAAAGCGAAACTAAAAAAATTACTCCATACATATTTCTGTCATATTAGAGAAGTGTCCGATCAATGCACCCCTTACTGTTCGACTTTATTAATCACACAAATACATGCAAGTCGCCCCATTCACATATACCGAGTATGACTCCCATATGATGGGAAGACGTTCTGATTTGGACATAGAATTTATCGCATCCATGTCGAACGCTTAATCACTTAAGCAACTCAGACAAGCAGGTATGGTAGAAAAACATAAATACATAGTAAGTACCCAACACGTAGTCAATCTCAGACCAAACCACAATCAAACTGGAAAGGCTTCAATGATGGACACCAAGGAAGGGATTTGGATGATGTTGCAGCGAGGGAAGCCTCCTTCCTCCAAAATCTTCTTCCATTCCGGTTCGGTCCTCTCTTTACCTCCGGTTTGTGTGATCATGAGGAGATCAGCAGCTATCCCCGTCTCATCGAATGGGCCATTGCCCTCTGGTTGCAACACAACGTCGGCTATGATCACCTTGCCATCCTTTTCGGGTACAGCTTTCCTGCAGTTCTTCAGAATCCTCACACAATCTTCATCATTCCAGTCGTGCAGGATCCACTATACAAAGGAGGAAGACAAATATTTAGTTGTGAGTTAATCATGACTTATTAAATCATGAATGTTCAATGAGTCGATTGTCATTCGCAGTTTGTACATTAGAAGCTGAACAAATATAGCCAAGAGTGACATTCTTCTGAAGGAGATGTCCATGCTGGTGGTGGTAGAGATCATGACGAATTAATGGCCGGGGTTTCGATTATCTTTAGCGTAAACGTTTTTTTAAAAATTCATTTGAAGACTTTCAATGCTTATGAAAATATTTCTCGTTCACTCATTATTTTACAATTATATGACAAAAATGAGCAAATGAATTGCCCGACAGTGGAGCAAGTAATAAGTGCACTCAATTCATGCAAGTCCAAATCAAATCCACCGCTATATGATGTAGGTTTCATGTTGTTGGATTTCGTCGGGAAAATTACCAAAAAAGTCCTAAACCTTTTGCAATTGTGCCAATTCAGTCCTAAACCTTTTTTTTGGGTCAATTCAGTCCTAAATCTTTTGTAATTGTGTCAATTCAGTCCATCCGGCCACTTTTGGCTGGCCGACGCTGACGTGAACGCCGGCCGGCTGACGTGGCAATATTTTAATAATTTTTTTTAATTATTTTTTGAATTTTTTTATTTTTTTTTCTTTCTTTTTTTTCCCCTATCTTCTTCCCCGGTCGCCGGTCCAGCGAGTGTCGCGACCCCCCCGAACCGGCCTCGCCACCTAAATGGTTTGGCTAATGGATTACTAAGTTAAACCTAGCTCAAGCTCTCCCAAGCCCATGCCAATTTGCGACTTAGATTTAAGTTATTAACATGCAAATCAATTTCATTTAGGAGTCGCCACTAATCAGTTTTTGGTGGGTCGATTAGTCACCCAAGTAAAGCACAGGAGAAATGTTTCACTTCTACGAACCAGAGATTCAATGGGTACGGGAACTTGATTACACTAATTGACCAATTAGTGCCCTTTCGATACCTAATCTTATTCAATTACCGCCTAACGTGTTCACACTAATCGGGAGTCTCAAAATTCGATTCCTAACCAAGCTAGGGAAAGCAACAATCAACACAAGAACCTAACATGCCCAATCAACTACGTGCGAGGTTAAATCAAACGCGCAATTCGAAGTGTGTGAACCAAGCAACGTGCAACTAAACATGACATTAATCGCACAATAGGACAAAAAGCCAATTGCAAAGCCCAAATGATATTTTTTGATTTTCGAATTTTTTTTAATTTTTAATTTTTTAATTAAATTTTTTTAAATTTTTTTTAAATATTAAAATAATAATATAATATTAAAAATAATATAGACCGGATCCGGGTCAGATCTCCACATCCGACCCGGATCAGGACTGACCCAGGTGCACCAGCCCGGGTTCATTCATTAAGCCCGGTCTAAAAAATTAAAAAGAAAAAGGGCCCAGCCCGAAAAATTTTCTGAAAAAGGAAACAAAAGCCCAAAGCCCACTAGGAAAAAACTAAATAACCATTTAGCTCAATTCCCAAATTCGGCCCATCCGCGAAAGGCCCAATACCTAAAAAACTATTCTAATTCTAAACTAAAAAGCCCAAAACCTAATAAACCCTAAAACCAAGCCCAAACACCAAACAAAACCCTATCCGGTTAAACTCACACGCCCAACCCGACTTGTGGCCGCTGATCCGGCTCACTTGAGACCCTAGTGCCCGCGACCCGGCTCCCGACCTGACTCGCGGCCGTTGCTCTGGCTTGGAGCTCACGCTCAGCCTTCATGACTGGGATCGCGCTCGGCCACCACCCGAACACCAGCTGCCGCTCCATCTTCGTCGGCCGGCTCGACTACCGGTGCCTCACCCGTTCGCGTCGCTACCGTGGTGACCGGGGACCGATCAAGACCGTGCAAGCCCCGACGAGGTGCTGGCCGATCACAGGTCAACCAGATCCCGGCGAGGGACTGGTTCTCGTCGTCCGCGTCACCACCCCGACAAGAGGTGGCGGGCAACCTCTGCTTGCGTCACCACCGCGGCGACCGGCGCCCGACCGAGACCGTCCATGCCCCGATGGGGAGCCGGCCGGCCACGGATCAACCAGATCCGGGCGGGGAACTGGCTAAATCGAGCTCCGCACTCGTGTCGCCTCTCCGTGGACCTCCTCGTTCGTCGGAAAAGAAACGCAACAACGACTCAACCGATCGAGAACAAGCGGCAACTCAGACAAGACACCACAAGCGAAGCAGAAGGCATCAAGATTCAGGGGGCGCGTCACAGGCAAAAGGAAGAAAAAACACATGGATCTCACTCGGGCATAACCTCGAACAGTTGGGGTGCACGGCGAAAACAAGAGATTGGCATAACCTCGAACAGTTGGGGTGCACGGCGAAAACAAGAGATTTCCGACTCGGTTGAGACTCAAACGCATCCGAAATTCACACATACAATTGCATAGACAATCAGGATCAAGCATGTGGTATCACGGGCCGGAACTCGCGCGAGCCGGACGGCCGCGAGCTCTGGCCAGTGAGCCCAAAAACAGAGTACACAGACCAGAACAGGGGAGGGAGAGGTGGCCATTTGCGGCGCTCCCTATCCAGCTCAGTGGCGACAAACGTTGGCGAACGTAATAGATCGGACACCGTCCGGTCACCTCACACGCCTCCGAGCCGAAATCCTCGGGAAATCGACCCCCGAATCACACCAAACAAGACTCGAAAATAGCTTGGGAACGTGACCTACCGCTTGAAGTGGGGTGCGCGTCGGAGTTTCGCCGGCCACGGTTGAGGCGTGGCCGTCACCGACGGGAGTCTTTCCGACCTTAGATCTCACTCCCCGAACTCTCGGTCTCACTCTCTCCCTCGGATCTCTCTCTCTGTGGAACCCTCTCTCTCCCCAATCTCTCACTCCGGCCTCGATTTAAAGCCGACCAGCAGGCAGGCGCGCATGGCCCCTACCACCGCCAGCCTGCCGCGGCCGGCTGATCGTTCGACCCGTAAATCGCGCCAGCATGCCCCGCGCCTCTCTGGCTTCTGCTCCGTTCTAGCCTCTATTCATTCCTGTTCCGTCTCCGTTCCTCCTCCATACGCTTAGAAATGTTGACGAGGGAGGGGGGAGGTTGGACAGTGTGCGGGCCGGGCCGAAGGGAAAAGGGCCGGCCCGTGCAAAAAATAAAAAAAAAAGAACACAAAGATAGGCCGCACAAAAAATAAAAAGAAGGGAAAGAAAAAGAATGGGCCGACGAACCCTGCTCGGAAATCCTTTTTTTAAAAAAAAAATTTTGTGTCATAATAGGCCCTATTAATGCAAATGTGCCTAATGTCTATATGCCATGCAATTTAATGAAAACATTTTTTGTTTAGTGGTTAAAAATTAAACCCTAATTTTTTTATGCGATAAAACCCTAAATGATTGAGCAAAATTTAGGTGTCAACAATGAGAGACTGAGGCCGACGAGTTCCACCTCGCCGGCCATGGGAGAGGCTGGCCCTCGCCGGCACTAGCGAGGGCGAGGCCGCCCAGATCTGGCGAAACCTCGCCGTCGCCGAGCGAGCTCGACTTCGCCGTCACCGGGCAAGCTCGACCTTGCCCGGCCAGGGCAAGGTCGAGCTCGCCCGGCGACGGCGAGGCCGCCCAGATCTGTCGAGACCTTGCCGTTGCTGAGCGAGGTTGAGCCTCGCCGTTGCCGGGCAAGGTCGACCTCACCAGATCTGGGCGAGGCCTTGCCCGGTCATGGCGAGGTTGACCTCGCCCAGATCTGGCTCTACCTCGCTAGATTTGGGCGGCCTTGCCGTCGTCGGGCGAGGTCAAGCTCGCCCGGTGACGGCGAGGTTGAGCCAGATCTGGGCGAGGCTCGACCTCGCTTGGCGACGGCGAGGTCTCGCCAGATCTGGTCGGCCTTGCCGTCGCCGGGCGAGGTCGAGCTCGCCTAGCGACGGTGAGGTCTTGCCAAGATCTGGCGAGACCTCACCGTCGCTGGGCAAGCTCGACCTCGCCCATGGCTGGTGAGGTGGAACTCGCTAGCCTCAGCCTCTTGCCGGTCGTCGGACCGGCGACCGGGGAAGAAGATAGGAGAAAAAAAAAGAAAGAGAAAAAAATAAAAATAAAATTCGAAAATTAATAAAATAATATTAAAATATTGCCACGTCAGCCGGTTGGCATCCACATCAACGCCGGTCAGCCAAAAGTGGTCGGATAGACTGAATTGGCACAATTACAAAAGGTTTAGGATTGAATTGATAAAAAAAAGGTTTAGGACCAAATTGATTCAATTGCAAAAGATTTAGGACTTTTTTGATAATTTTTCCAATCCTCCGGTGCGTTAGTTGGACTCATAATTACCTGATTGAAACTAAGATTTTTTCTTTTAGACCCATCGAGCCGTAATTATGCGCTCGGGTGACCATAAAGCGGTCGCCCGCATCTGGCCACTATAAGCGGCCTTGAAGACGACAAACTTTCGAGGACGTTGCGACGCAAGTTGAACTTCGAGAACAAGCGCCAAGTCACACTTACCTTCATGAAAACAGCATCAGCACTCGGAATGGCCTCGAACATGTCTCCCCCGACATGACAGACCCCGCCGTGCGCTGGTGCGGCAGCGACAATGCGGGGTTGGTCGAAGTTAATTCCCTTGATATGTGGGTACGACCTCACTATCTTGGCTACGGCGCCGCCCGTCCCACCTCCAACGTCCACCAGCGATCCCATGCGCTCGAACCCATCCTTGTACGCATCCATGATGGCTTTCATCATGAGCTTGTTCGAGCACGCCATCGCATCACGGAATACGCAATTTGTGGCCGTTAGCCCTCTTGAACGCGATTGATCCCCCGTCCTTGATGTAGTCACCGAGGCAGTACCACGAGGACACCATCCACCAATGGCCCGCCAGCAATACCAGTGGCACAAGGCTGAGGTGGCTAGCCCCCTGCAAGAGCCATCTCGACGATGGGGTGAGACCGTAGAGCGTCTCTCCACCGTCGTGGTGCGCAGAGAAGACGTTCTTGCGGACCAGGAGCCTCGTGATGCGGGCGAGGCAGGAGGTTTGGGCAGATGGGGAGGGGATGCGGGAGGCTATTTGGGCCAAGGTGACGGGACCGTCGCCCCGCGAGTGGATGATGTTGGGTATACGGAGCTCCACCGCGCAGTTCAGCGCCATTGAGTCCACGTACGAAAACATGAGCTTCCATACTTGGGCTTGGCCACTTAACGTTTCATCGTGCGGTTCCATTCTCTCTCTCTCTCTCTCTCTGTGTTTGAGGAAAGAAGAGAGCGTCTACTCCTAATCATATATAGAGGCCAAGGCATCGTCGGGTTCGGCCGAATATGTGCTTTCATTCCGTGCTTCATCGTTCATCGCTACATGTATGAACGGTTGAAATGATCGAGGCGCCGAACGAGAGTACCAAATAAGAGATTTTAAGATCTCTGTGCTACACGTTCTTAGATGGGCTTCTTCTTCATTTAATTCGCCTAAATCAACACCACGCTTTGAAGAAAACGACTTATGCTCTTGAGATAAAACAATATCTGAATAATCCACATTGGAAAATTCTTGTTTTTCATATCAAACAATCTGTTCATCTTCAATCTGATAGTAATAGAGGAAAACTTGATGTAAGAGGAAATAACACATCTCGTCTTTTTTCATATTAGAATTCCTTAACAGCATTGTCTCGCATTTAAAAATTAAAGTGGTTTTTCTTTGGATTAATAACGAGAAACTAATGTGTTTCTTTCTTAGAAGTATGTGTTGATTTCTTAATTCTAACTAATTGATATTTATTTAAGATACAAATCATACATATAATAGGAATACGATGCACAGTAAAAAGAATAGTTAGTACTCACAAGCTTCTATTGAAGTATTATCCCCCATCGCTTGACAAGGGGTCGTAAATGCTTTTTATATTCATGTGGTCTCCCTCCACCTATCAACTTAAATTTTTGGTTTGGACTTTCTAATAGCCTCGTTGAATAAGAAAAATAATGGTTATAAAGAAAGATAGCGTAATCATATATTTCACGTACTATAATATAATTACAATGAAATACAGGATTGTTAAGTACTCACGAGCCCTTCAGAGTCCTTAAGGCTCTATAAGCCATTCCAATATCTATATTATCCTTCACATGGTGATTCACCGGAATAATCTCAAGTGAGTTCTTTGATAGTCGAGGCGAACGTCTGAACTGCGCAATGATATTGTCAAGCGAACCCTCCTTCCTCCAATACATGAGAGTTTGATAGAGGATCGGATTAAAGAGATAGCAGGAAAACAAATAGATTGCAGAGATGAGAAAAGTGAAAGAATACTTTTTAGTATTAATCGTTTCTCCCTTTTACTATTTTTCAAAGTGAGTCTCTTTATATGTACACTTCAAGAGATATTTATCTTGTGCCGAAAATGAGGAAAAGATCGTATCATGTGCTGAAAATGAGGACAAGATCAAGATTATATCTTGTTTATCAAGATCATATCTTGTTAGGAAAATATTGTATCTTTGACTTGTTCAACATCCCCCGCAAGCTAACAGTGCGGAACGAACAGTTAGCTTGGACCTTAGAAGTGTAAAGCGTGTGGAAGAGATACCTTTAGTGAAGATATCAGCGGGCTGATCCACAGATGAAATGAAATGGATGTTGATCTGTCCATGAGCTCGGCATTCACGGATAAAATGATAATCAATTTCCACGTGCTTTGTTCGAGCATGAAATACAAGATTCGTAGTAAGGTACAAAGCTGATATATTATCACACCAGAGAGTTGGTGGATGTTGTGGAAGAGCATGAAGATCTTTCAATAGATATTCAAACCACATAACTTCTACAGTTGTATCAGCTAAGCACTTATATTTAGCTTCTGTATTGGAGCGGGCCACGGTTCGTTGCTTGCAAGAACACCAGGAAATAAGATTGCGACCAAGAAAGACACAATAACCTCCAATTCAGCATCGATCATCTTTATCACTACCCCATCCAGCATTGGAAAAGGCATGAAGAGCTTTGGAAGGGCCACGAGTGAAAAGAATACCAAGACGCGGAGTATCTGCCAAATAGCATAGTATACGCTTGACGAATTACCAATGAGCTGTTGTTGGAGCATGGAGAAATTGACATGCTGTATTGATGAAATAAGCAATGTCAGGTCTGGTAAGGGTCAAATACTGAAGGGCACCGACTATGCTGCGACAAAGTAAAGGGTCAGGTGAAGGCTCGCCGTGTCTACGAGAGATTGGTTCATCAGTTGTGCACATCATAGAAACTACGCGAACATTTGTCATTTTTTATCGCTCCAAGATTTGATGAGTGTACTTTGCCTGATGTAGGAGTAGTCCTTCGGAAGTTGATTGGGTTTCGACACCAAGAAAGTAGTGAAGGGGACCGAAGTCTTTAATTACAAATTCAGTCTGAAGGGAGCGTTAGGAGGGCTTCTGAGAATAATGTCATCCACATATACTAGAAGTACTATGTTGTAGTGAATGGTGTGGAGAGTAAATAATGAAGAATCTGCACCTGACAATTGAAATCCAAGATTGATGAGGTAGGAGCTCAGCTGCTAGTACCTAGCACGAGGA